TTGCCCTACCCCACCCCAGCTGGGCAGTGCCTGCCCCTGCCCCAGCCCCACCCTTCCCTCCACCATGGGGGCCTTGATCTGCCCCCTCCACTCCCCTTCCCCCACAACAGACTTACCAGCTGGATGCTGCTCTCCAAGCTGCCAGGCTGGCCACGTTTGTGCTGCAGCTGCACCCATGCACATGGCATTTATCGGTGACATTATTGGCCACATCAGCCAAAAGAGGCCAATGGCCAATAATGTCAATTTCCCTTTTGTTGGTGCCAATATGATATGAACCAATGTATCGGTGCACCTCTAATTATGACCATCAACATCACCCCTCTTTCTCTAAGCGAGAAGCTTGTAGACTCTGATTTCATTTTTTCTTTTTAGGTTGAGAGGACTATGCTTACATTATTGTCCACATATTAGCACTGCTTATTAAAGCATGCAGGAGGCTACAGGGTGTCCATTACCTGCTCACATTTATCTTTCTTAATAACCTCATGCACCTTGACTGTTATGTTGAAAAGAAAGGGGTGACATGATGCCTGCCTCTACTTATCTGCCTACAAAGGCCTGTATACTGAGGAAGAGGCTGCTCTGCCAAGTAAAAACTCTTCTAGTTGAAAATACAGTGTCTTTATCTACTAGAAAAACTTATTCAGCTCCGTTTGTAATACTACAATTAACTTTGATTATTGCACACCAAGAAATCACCAGTCTTTACAGAATGGAGGCCAGGACCAGAGAGACAGATAGAAACAAAAGGTGAGCCAAAAGGTTCATTTCTGCCCATTACTTCTTCTACATCAAGGATGCCCTCTCTCCACCTCATCGCTCCATAGTCCCCAAACTGGCAGAGAAAGAGGTTCAGCCATTGGTACATCATTATAACGTGTAACAAAAACTGGGAGCACTTCATATATTAGGGCATGGTGAACCACAGAGGCAACTGAGGACAACCCCCTAATTTCCTACTTTTTTTTTTTTTTTTTTTTTTTTTTTTTAAGGTGTAATAGGAAATCCCTGTCCTCTTATTACATACTTTAAAGGTGTAGAGGGAGGGATAAGTAACTACAGCTTGTCTAGACAATCTGCTGACCTACTTACCATACTTTATAATACTCAGTATGCTTTTGCCTGAAAGAATCTGGCATTTATGTTTTTTGTTATTTTCATATTTTTATTACTTGATTCTCTAATTCTAATTTGGAAAATTGGCCTTCTTCCCAAAAACTTGAAAACCGGGCACTGATAATGATCTGACCTCCTACACTATGCAAAGATGAGAATTTGGCAAAATGTGTAAAAGAAAAGAACCTAATTGAAGTTTTGACAGCAG